TTTTGGGCTGTGTTGGTTCTTTCACATTTAAGCAAGAACTCTGGAACACAGGGTTAGTCAGTCTCTAAAGAAATACCACAACCCACTTCATGGCCCTTGTGCCTAGGATAGATAGCAGAGTAGAGCGCTGGCCTTGTACCTACTAAGAGGAAAAACAGCCTGGAACAACCAGCAGTTTGCTTGGCCACATTTGGTCTAGAGATCTGACTATAAGGACAATACCAAATCTTTTCAAGKGTTGCTAGATCTCTTCACTCATTTCTCAGGGTCAGTTTCTTGTAAAATCCCAACAACTATCAGTTATATTTTTAAATTCTTAAATATCTCAAATGAATATTTCAATTACAACCGTCTTCGGTATGTCTCATCCCATATTACATCTAGGATACAAGAATAAAAATACCCTATAATCCTGTTTAGCTGATTGAGACCTTGTCTTTGCTTTTAATGACACAAATACCCAGGAGATTAGTATCTAGCCATACCCAGCTAGGACTTGACCAGCCACCATGTGGTGGGATGACTGCAGCAAATAAGAACAGACAGATTTTTTAGTCTCTTGGCAACCGATTTTATTATGCTTTGACCTGGCAGCTGGTAAGGCTTTATATGAATTAACCAATAAAGCTATGAAAAAAAACAAGATTAGTGACTCTGAAATATAGTTTTTTGTTACTGGCAATTAGAGAAAGCATTTTCATTTTCAATGATGTTTTCTTAAATAGGTGTGATTAATTTTAAGATAATAATAATCGTAGTAGTAGTAGTAATAGTAAAACAATATTTTAGAAGTACACATCTGGGTTATAGGATATAGCTTAGTAAGAGTGCTTGCCTAGCATGTGCAAGGCCCTGGGTTTGATTCCCAACTGAAAAATCAATCAATCAATAGGACACATCTTTAACAGATCAGTCACATATACCTATCTACCCTGCTTCTCCCTCATCATATAGCTTTTATATTTAAAGGGATGAGGAGTTTTGTAAGACAGGCCACCCAAAGTAAGCTGGCATCAATAAGACAATAATTACTCAATCTGGCTGTTGTGGAATTACTCTTGGTTATTCCACTTTAAAAGGGGAAAGAAAATATTAATAAGTCCTTAAAAGGAATAAAAACGCATTGAATAAAAGACTTTCTGGTATCACAGCAGTGAATACAACCAAATGGTAACTTTCAGTAATCATGTAGCTCCCAGAGAAGAGTCAAGAGTGTCTCATAAGAATAGTCTAGGCCACCATATGGATCTGGGGACTGAAAGAACACTGTAACAAGGGGGTGATCATGATTGGGTGACAACAGAGTGATTAGGGGTCAACACTAAAACAGAAGCAACTTACCTGTGACGTCTTAAGGTAAGGCATCATGCAACAAACCTACTACTGGTCCTGGAGTCCCAGTTTTGGCTCTGCCACTAACTCTATGTGATACTGACAAAGTGACTTAACCTCTCTAGATACAAATTTCTTGAATTATAAAAGCTAAAATAAAACTAAATGCTCTCAAACCTTCTAATATTACTTGAGTTTACAAATCCTCTCCTTTATTAAGATGGGTATATGCACAGAATGAGCCATCAGTCAGTCATTCTTTGGACATTATCACAATAGGATGCATTTCCTATGCCTAAACACAACTTCTGACTAGGGCTGCCAGAAAAAATACATGTCCAGTTAAATTTTCCTTTGGATAACAAATAACTGTTAGTAAAAGTATGTCCTAAATATTGCATGGGATGTACTTATGGTAAAAAAAAATTGTTTATCTGAAATGCAAATTAAACTTTTTTTATATAGTAAATCTGGTATCCCATCTCCATCCTCAAAGTAGAATTTTGCCTTTAAGAATGAAAAGTCAAGGAGTGGGAGTTATAGCTTAGTGGTGGAACACATGTTTAGCAATCATGAGGGTTTAAGCCTCAGCACCAAGAAAAAAAAAAAAAAAAGAATCAAAAGCCTGACTCCATACATGTGGGTCATTCTAAGAACTGATTGATGGCTAAGGCATTAATAGGAGACCTTCTCAAGAGAGTACCATGCACAGAGGCAAAAAACAAACAAAAAAACAGTAAAGGAGGAACAAAACTTTCACATTCCTCTTGAGTAAGTGAGGCATCTAATTTTATTTGACAGTTAAAAAATATGAATGTTACTGAACATTGTCAATCATATGAGACAAAGAATGTGGTGTGCCCTCTGTGTACCATACAACCAGACAGGGAGGTTCAGACAAGCTGGATGCTCATTACTCTACCCATCTCCTCCTGCTATGGATATGAAGTTAATTGCAAGAACTTTATCCCTGCCTCCAATTCATAGTTCATGTCTGTTCCCAAGGTAATCAGCTTAAGGGAAACTGGATCATAAACTCAATTTCCTGACCAAAAGGCAGAGAAACAAATATGGCCCAAGCAAATCTGCATAAGGCATTTTAAAAGTGAAAGCTATGGAAGGGAAAAATTACCCTTGTTGGGAGCAAATAAAAATATTTTAACAATGGCAAGACCATTTTGTTTCTCAGGGGCTCAGACTTATAACATGCAAGCCTTGTTTTTCAGGAGATATCAAGTTTATTAAAAATCTTTTAGGGCTGGGATGTGGTGGCACATGCCTATGATCCCAGCAGCTGGGGAGACTGAGGCAGGAGGATTGCAAGTTTAAAGCCATCTTCAGCAACTTAGCAAGGCCTTCAGCAACTTAGTGAGACCCTGTCTCTAAGTAAAATATTAAAAAGGACTAGGGATATGGCTCCGTGGTTAAGTGACCCCTGGGTTCAATCCCCAGTACCACAAAAAATTTAAAAATAAAATGAAAATAACTGTGGACCTGAAAGAAGTGAGTGAGAAAGACATGAAGACATATGAGGGAAGAGCATTGTCCAGGCAGAGGAAACAGCAAGCATAGCAGTCCTTAAGGTAAGGCTGGAGCAGAGGAAGCAAAGGAAAGAACAACAGATGATAAAGCCATATACCACATCTTATGGGCCACTCTGAAGACTCTGTTGTTCTTCTGAGATAATATACTATTGGAGAGTTTTGAGCACACTGGCCACTATGTCGAGGATAGACTGCAGAGGGCAAGAACGGCAACAGGAAAGCTCTTTAGGAGGCTTTGGCAGTAATCCGGGTAACAGATGAAAGGAACTGGGTAAAAGAGTGAGAATGGTTATTATCTTAGATATATTCTCAAAGTAGAATTGGTGATAATTGTTGAGGGATTTGATAATGAGAAAGAAGAGAATGGAGGGTGATTGCAGTGTGTTTCATCTGAGCAGCTGGAAGAATGAAGATGCCATTCACTAAGATGAGGAAGACCAAGGGAAAAGCAGATTTGGGGAAGGAAAAGCAGATTTGGGGAAGGAAAATCAAAGTTTGGTTCCTAGAGGAAACTTTTACATTCATTATAAAACCGAGGCAATAGAATTTGAGAAACTGATCTTAAGTTTCACATGAAAATTCAAGGAACTCCAAAACAATCAAAACAAGGAACAACCAAAACAATCTTGAAAAAGTTCAGAACACATCCAAATTTCAAAACTCACTGCCTATTTACAATAATTAAGACAGTATGATACCAGCATAAAGATAGATGCCAGATTAATGGAGTAGAATTCAGAAGCCAGAAATAAACCCCCACATGTGGTCTATTGATTTTCAACAGAGGTGCCAAGATCATTCAAAGGGGGAAAACAGTCTCTTCAACAAATGCTGCTGGAAAAACTGGATATCACATGAAAAACAATGAAGTTGGACTCCCCTAACTCACATCATATACAAAAATCAAATTTAAATGGATCAAAGAATGAAATGTAAGAAATAAAACTCTTAGGTATACAAAATCATAAGTATAAATCCTCATGACCTTGAATTTGACAATGATTTCTTAAATTTGACACTAAGCAAAAGCAACAGAAGAAGATGGATTAATTATAATTTTAATCAAAACTAAAAATTAAGGCAAACCACCAGAAAGAAGAAATGGAAGAATTAGAACCAAGGTAAAATATAAAAAAGAACAACCCTTACAAAGGTTCTTTCAGCATTATACTAGTCTCCCTCCATTTCTAACAAACTGAAGAAGCCCTATTTTCCAGGCTGTGTTTTCCCTCAGAAGCAAGTTTTTAAGACATAATTACAAAATGCTTGTATGGCATAACCATATCCCCACCTACCCAAAATCTGACTGATAGGCCAACCACACAGGGAGGATTCATCCAACAGCTGTTGGTCCTTAGGGGTAAAGAAAAGGACTCTGGGGCAGAAGATTTTGAGGCCCTATGAGCCCAGGTGATCAGAAGGAGGCCAAAAGCAAAAAAAAAAAAAAAAAAAAAAAAAAACTAAATAAAGGGCTCACAAGATTTCCTTCACTTCAGGCCTGACTTTGCAAATGGTTACATATTGAGACAGAGACAGGCTTTTGCAATAGTTACCTAAGCCTGTCATTCATCAGCCCTAACACCAGTCATGACAAAGAACTTGCCTGCCAGGTAGGATTTTCTGTCTAACCGAGGAGAAAGGGGAGAATCTCTCCCACACCCTACACCGCTAGTTTGCAGTCCAGACTCTTACCAACCAGGATGTAAAGACCTCACATAATTACACTGAAAACAACAGGAGGGRAAAAAGAACTGGGGCGCAGTGTGCAAGGTCCCAGACCTTCTTCCCCTCTCTCCAGTGAAGTTTCCACCCCTTCGTGTAGGGATTCTAGCACCTGGTTTTGCCCCCGTGAGGTGACCTCAGACCCCAGCCTCATCTGGGGTCTAATTCTCGACCTCAGCAGACGTCATGGCTGGTCTGTGTTGAGGACCTGGGAGAAGCAAAGACACTTTTCTGGCGGACTCGGGCGAAGCGGGGCGGGGAGAGAAGGAGTCTCCAACCCCAGTCCCGGGGTGGACTCGCCGCTCACCGCCACCTTGCTCAGTCCCCCGGGAAGGACTGGGACCTGCCGGGAGCTCGGGACCCCAGCGCGCCTCCGCTGCTCCAGCAGCCTCCCGCGCTCACCTGCCTCGGCCTGGCGCTCCTGGCCCCACCGCAGATGTGTCCCTGCCCTCGGCGTCCACCGCTGCTGGCCTTTTTTGGGTCCTTGGCGGGTATTTTCCGTCTGGCCCCACATCACTTCCCGTAAAGGAGAGCGAGGTGGGGGCGGGCCCTCCTCTCTTTCCTCCACCTCCCGCTTCCTCCTGTCACCTAGTGGAGCACCCCCCGCACGACCGAGCAGGGGAAGGACGGGGATCACACAGGGCTGCCTCGTGCACCGCTCCCAGGTTGGCGGCACCTGCCCCACGGGTCTTCCCGTGAGCCACAAAAAAGGCCACCCTCTCCTCATTGTCCCAAGTCTCCGCTGCCCTATTCTGGAAAGAGAAACGATAGGAGTTGTTTTCATTTCGAGATACGCGGGTGACATTTACGAACTGCCCCAGGATCGTGAGCTGCGACGTAGGGTTTGGTGACTTTCAATAAATCTCCTCCGTGGAAAATGACTTGCTAAAGGTGTTTTCAGGGCTTCAGAGCTGTGTCTCCCCCGTAGTAGCCTGAGGTGCTGAACGGCCTCAAGTCGCCCCCATCTTCACTGGATACAATGAGTCCAGGGACCCGTTAGCACCCGGAGTCCAACTCTGCCCCTGTCCTTTCTGCCATCTCTCCTTGCTTGGGTCCGTCTGGCCATAACCTTCCCAACACAAGGGAAATTTTTTGGAAATTAGATGGGAAGAAATAAGGTAGGATTCATGCAGAAAACACACACACACACACACACACACACACACACACACAATTCTGGGAGAAAATGACAAACAGAGTCTGCTCACGGGGTCTAATTCGGTCCATGAAATCATTGATTTTCTCAGAGACTGTGAGACCAATTGTTAGAAGAAAATAAGGAAGCCCACAAGATTGCCCATACCAGTAATCCCACCTACTCAGGAGGCTGAGACAGGAGGATCACAAATTTGAGGTCAGCCTCAGTAATTTATCAAGACCCTGTGTCAAAATTTTAAAAAAAATAAATAAAAATAAAACAAAAAAGGCTGAGAATGTAGCCCAGCTCTGGGTCCAATCCACAATACCAAGAGAAAAGGGAGAAGAAATGATGAATGAATGAAAGAAAAAGAAGAGGGGAAAAAAGAAAAGAAAATCTTAGTGCTTTGAAGGAATAGCCTGGGTAAGGAGAAATTTGAGAGGTTTTGCTGCCCTCCAGTGGCTTCCTCCTCTAAGCACCCATAGTTTTGTGAGGACCTGCAGAGATACTCAACCTGGGGCTGAGATGTGGTTCAGGCTGCTTGGTTCCCTGCTTAGACACAGCCAAATTCACCCAAGGATGTTCTGGATTTCTAAACAGTAGCCTTTGATCATACTGTCTTGGGCTCTAATAATTCCACTTCTTTTTTTAATGAATTTCTTTTTTTAATATTTATTTTTTAGGTGTAGATGGACACAACACAATGCCTTTATTTTTATGTGGTGCTGAGGATGGAACCCGGGTCCCGCCCGTGCTAGGTGAGCGCTCTACTGCTGAGCTACAATCCCAGCCCCATAATTCCACTTCTAAGTGAAACAAAATGCTGAGAAGCCTCAGTCTAGCTTCTCTTACCATCTATGGCAGTTTCACTGATATGTCTATCTCCACCACAAATTCCAGCTATCCCAGGCCTACTTGCCCAACCCCAACATCCTTCCAATCTGCATCACCTCAGTTTGCATTACTCAGTTATTTTGTCAAATATGTACTATTTACAAAATCACATACAGGATGAACTACATGAAATTACTTATACCAATTTGGACCAATGTGGCAATTCCATACATTCAAAATAATATTTGTAGGCAAACATAATAAACAATAAGCTTGGGGTTAAAGGTAACAGATTTAATCATAGTACAACGATTTCAAGAGCTGTTCCCCATGTGAGAAGGGCCATCAGACTGTTGGTGAGGTTAAAAAAGAAAAAGTAGCCTCATGTTCATGAGAGCCACTAATCAATTAAGATCTGGGAGACTTAATCCATATTTGTGTTACTATAACAAAATACCTAAGACTTGGAACTTCCTAAGAAAAAGAGGTTAAGCCAGGCTTGGTGGTACTCACCTGTAATCCCTGCAATTTTGGAGGTTTAGGCAGAGAATCATTAAGTTCAAAGCCAGCCTCAGCAATAGCAGCTTAGCAAGATCCTGTCTAAAAGTTTTTTTTTTTTAATGGGTGGGGCTAGAGATGTAGCTCAAAGATTAAGCACCCCTGGGTTCAATCCCCAGTAACAAAAAGAAAAAAGGATGTTTATTTGGCTCATGAATCTTGTGGCTGGAAAAAACAAACAGCATGGCACTGGTGAGCAACTACCCCCCTACCATTCCCCTGGCTGTGTCATAACATGATAGATACAGAAAAAGGAAAAGGCCTTGTGTACATGGGATATGTGTGTGATGGAGAAATCAAGAGACCAGTGGGCAAGTCTTGTTTTTTTTTTTTTTTTTAAATAACCTGTCCTTATAGAAACTAACTCAGTCCCATAAGACCTGATCTACTCCCATGGATACATTTGTCCCTTCCTAGGTCAGTGCCCTGTGACCCAAATGTCTTCCTTTAAGCACCATCTCTTAAAGAACCACCTTTCAATACCATTATATTGGGAACTGAACTTATAGCACAAACCTTTAGTTTGTTCTAGCACATGAACAAACTAAATCCAAATCATAGTAGGGTAGTGAACAATAATTCCATAACTGAGCCAGGTGTGGTAGGGCATATCTGTAATCCCAGCAACTCAGGAGGATGAGTGAGGAAGGAGGATTACCTGAGCTCAGGAGTTCAATACCAACCTGGACAACACAGCAAGATTCTGTCTCAAAATTAAAGCCGGGGGGCGGGTATGGGGGAATTGGAACACAGAAAGCTGATACCAAATCAAGACATTTAAAAGGAAATAATGTATAAGTTAAAATGGGTGAATAAAATAGGAGGGTGAGAGAAAGAGAATTTCAGAAAAAAAGGGAACAGAAAAAAAGTTCTATAAGCACAAAAGAGAATTAGATATTGGAGCAACTGTAAGAAGTTCAGAAAAGCTTCAAGAGTGGAAGAAAACAATCAAAGAAGAAACTGAAGAAATAAACATATGCTGGATTTAAAAAAATCCTAGAATGACAGTAATGATAATAGCTAACAGTCATCTAATATGCTAGTAACTTTGCATACATCTCCTTATTTACTTCTGAGAACTGCCCTATTCTTGTCCTTGGAAACATTCTTTTCCCAATGTTACAGAAAAGGCAACTGAATCTTAAAGTGATCAAGCAATCTGACCAAGGTCAAACAGCTAATAAGTGGCATAGCCAGGACCAGAACTTAGAACTCAAGTTCTTAATGCTAGAAAGCTGAGAATGGATTTAGGAGGTCAATTATTATGCTTAACTCCAAATGAGAGATAATGCTGATATGGGTAAAGCAGTGGCCACAAGGATGGAAACAAATGGGTAAATTTGAGATATTTAGGACAGCCAATCAAAAGGACTTGGTTATAGAAGGTAAGGGAGAAAGAGGAGTCTCTAGAGATGGCCAGGTTCTGGCTTGGGCAATCAGGAACCACTGAGAAGCAGGAAGAAAGCCTAGTTGCAGCAGGGAGGGAGGGTGAAATAGGCCATAATGAGTGGGTTTAGGACTTTTCCAATTTGGCATGCTAATACCAAGAGAATATCCAATTGAAGTTGTTTAATGTATAAATGAATAAGCACAGATGATGTGTGCTGGAGCTATTACCCAAAAGGTACTGGAAGATATAAGAATCAGTGAGCCATTAAGGGGTTTATTACATAACCCATTTAAGGTATGAGTAGAAGAAGTGTGAAAAGGAATCTAATTAAAGAAAAAAAAGAGGTAAGAGAAAAACTGGGGTATGTGTTATTACAGAAAATAAGAACACTGAACAGTCTTGTGCTTCAGTTCAAAATCATCTCTGAACCACTTCTAAGTCAGTCACAATACTGGGTACAGTATAACGCCTGCTTCCCATCCTGGGCCTTTTCTGATACTACAGTTTGAAACATACAGAATTCCAGCTCCAGTATTCCTAATAGGATTAAAATTGGAGGTAKCAGTGAATACTCATGGATTTTAATATATAGAAATACAGAAACAGATATAAATATATGTATATATGGTAAGAAGTCCTAGAAGCAATTATATCACAGTAGCTAAGAGCACACTTAGCACACAGATCTTGATATCTAAATAGCCCCTTCCAGTAAAATTAACCAAGGACATGATCTTATATAAAGAAATCATGGGGCTGGGGATGTGGCTCAAGCGGTAGAGCGCTCACCTGGCATGCATGCGGCCCGGGTTCGATCCTCAGCACCACATACAAACAAAGATGTTATGTCTGCCGAAAACTAAAAAATAAATATTAAAAATTCTCTCTTAAAAAAAAAAAAGAAAGAAAGAAAGAACTCATACATGGGCTGAAGATATAGCTCAGATGGTAGAGAGCTTGCCTTGCATGCACAAAGCCCTGGGTTCAATCCCCAGCACCACAAAAAGAAAAAAGAAAGAAAGAAAGAAATCATACACTATTCGAGCCAATAAATGAAATAAGCAAAGACACAAGATATAAGATCAACATACAAAAGTAGTTGTATTTCAATGAACAACCAAAAAGAAAATTAATAAGAAAATAATTCCACTTAAATTAGCATCAAAAAACACTTAGAAATAAATTTAACCATGGAAGTGCAAAACTTATATACCAAAAACTATAAAACACTGTCAAAATAAATTAAAGACCTAAATAAATGAAACAAAATTTCATGTTCATGGATTGAAAAACAAAATATTATAAAGACAGCAATACTACCCAAAGTGATCTACAAATTCACTGCAATCCCTGTCAAAATTCCAATAGTAAAAATGGAAAAGTTAAGCCTAAAATTCACATAAAATTGCAATGGACCCACAAAGTTGAAAGCTTACTTATCAGATATATGAAAACTTACTACAAAGCTACCATCATTTTAAAAATTTAGTGTTGGCATATGAATAGATATATAGATGAGTGAAACAGACTTCAGAGCCCCAAAACAAATCCATACATCTACAGTATGTAGATTTTCAACATGGGTACCAAG